GTGTTGGGTTTTGTTGGGGGGAATCTTTGAAGGATGGGACCTGGAGGCTCGAGTTCCTACATTTACTGCAAAAAACAACATGTATACGTAATGGTGGGACTTACAAGATCACTACCGGACGGACTGTTTTTGGTATTATAGATATATACTATATCTTATATAATAATAAGAGTGACAAATTAGTATAGATAACACTTCGATTACTAACATTCTGAACCGACACGACTCCTCACACATATAAATTATCCGGGCGCAATGTCTTCTTATTTCCAAGATAAATTTTTCCTCACCATGGGGGAGGGACCGCGTTGTCGCCCGTTAGTAAGGATTGGTGGACACTGGCTCCTCCACCAACCCCCCAGTGGGTCTCTATTGTGGACAATTTTCTGAAGTGACCCGTCACTTGTGTTCTCCACGGGGATGCGACCTGGGGCACACAAAATATGTAAGCTTAAGGCAGAGTCTCGGCGTTCGTTGAGGCTCGCCTCTTGCAAGTCCTACCTGGTCTCTCATCCTGCGGGGGGGGGGGGGCTAGGGGGTCCGGCACTGCTCACAGACACACAATTTAACATAAAATCGGGTCTACACGGGTATCACCTCAGAGTATCGGAAACCTGAATTTTTTTTTTTCTTCTACGGACGAGCGGCACGGTGTCGAGAAGAAGACCAAGGACTGGGTCGCAACGGTTTGTATTTAGTATAAAAGGACGTTCGAGGAAAAAAAAGACCCGCCACAAAAAAACAACAAAATGACAAAACACAATTTCCACCAGGCAGAATTTTTCCCTTAGGAAAATAACCGGGGTCTACTTTATTGTATCCGAGTACCCGTGTCACTTCTCACCAAGATGGTCGTAGGTCAGGCGGTCGATCGGACAGCATGGCGGGACGTCGTGTTTGGAGGGTACTAGACGGAGTTGAGGGGAGGTACTTTGGATCTTGGAGGATGGTCATATCGTTTTTATGTTTGTGTAGGGTGAAGGTCCAAAGCGAGTGAAAAGGCACTGATAGTAGTTAGGCTCTCCCATAGTGGGGTAGTTGGTGTCACTGTCTTTTTATAGAGTTACCTTAAATATAGGACACTGACTAATTTGAAGACGATTAGAGTACAGGTGTTACACCTTAGTTTCTACCGTCCTCTTTCGGGAAGTTCATAAAGAAAACTGGACTTTTTGACCAGAGTTTTGGGGGGAAAATTTTTTTACAACTGGGACCTAGTGACGACCCCGTGAATGTTTGCCCAAATTGTGTTGGATGAGCGTGTGCGGAGGACCCGACCCTCTAGAAATACATTACTGAGTAGGGGGGGCATATCTAGACAAAATAAACTATCTGGATAAAAAAAGTGGTAGAAATAAAACTAAATGACGGTCGAAACAAACAACTAACACATTCGGTTCACCTGTTTTTTCAATCCAACGTACAATTAGACAGTCTCGAAATTGACGTATGGGACTTGACGAGTGAAAAGACCACTCGGGGAGTTTGGGTCAGCTCGTACACGTTGGCCGGGGTCACAGAGTCGCCTGCTGTCCACTTATGAGCCAGTGTACTGCCGACGTCTTAGAGAACCGTAGAACAGGTAACCACGCAAGTCATCTGCGGAGGACAATTTCGCCCCTGGGACAGAAACAAAGCACGTCATAGGGTAGGTTTGCCAGAAGGAGACACCCGACTAGAGGGGGGTGGTGAATGCTGGTGTGTTATCTGAGCCTCTTCTCTGCTGAATAGATGGACATGTAGTAGTCGTTGCTGCCGACCGCCAAGTGGGGCTGAGTGGAGAGAGGGAAGATTATTACAGGAGGATAATGTGTGTGCGTTCACAAAAACTGAGCAGAGGGTAAAATGTGTACTGAAGAAAACAACATATGTCGAGTGGATCAACTTAATAATTGGTGGCAGTGACTCTGGCCCAAGGGAGTTCACTTGGGAACCAGAGGGTCGCTGGTTCATCTCCCAGGAACAAACCTATTACGAGTGTGGACTCACACTTTAAAAGGTGCCAGTGTCCCTCCTGGGCACTTCCGAGGTGCCTTTGAGAAAAGCATCGGACCCCCACACTGCTCCCTACATATATACAGTATAGATGCTGCACACTGCTCCATGTATTAGGAGAGTCTAAATGTCCCTGTGTACGTGTGGTACTTTGCACATGTGTGACGATTTAATATAGACTCGACCTGAATCCTCCACTTCCAATTGTTTTCTCCCATTTCCATAAAAATAATAAAAAAACAAGTCAAGTTATAAATGTCATAGATTACGAAGTGGTAGTTGTGATTTAGTTTTTTAAAATATATATATATTCATAATTACTTTGTATCTACATACAGGACCTGTTTGCAGTGGGAGAGCGCTCTTGTGTTTGAACTCTTGACTCAGTAGTTTTCTAGAAATATTGGTTATTTGTGAAATAAACTGATCAAATCAATAAATCATTAACAAAAATAATTCTACATTTTTCATATATTTTTAGTTTCCGTGACATTTGGCCTTTACGCCCTAAAAAGTATTACAAAACAACAAAGGAAAGTGGTCTTTCCCCTTGAGCTACTCTATACTTTACATTAAGACTTTCTAACACATAATACACATTTTCAAAATATCATTCATTATTATGCATTACTGCCCAAACTTTGAAATGTTTGAAGCTCCCTGCCATGCGGTGTTATTTACCCAGTGAGGATGGAAGGCTAGACAGCTGATGGCCCCGATCCTCTGCCCCATGAAGCCGTCGTAGTATTTAATGTTGCTGATCACGTCTCCGTTAGCGTTGTAAACGGCTATGAACTGGTTCATCGACCCGCTGGAGAGAAGGGGAGACACAACATCACTTCAAACATCTGCTGTGTGTAACACTGGACGTCAACTAAAGTAAACACATAGTTAACGATGCATTTACACCAACACACTCACCAGGCAAACAGGTTGGCCTGGGGGTGGATGTCCAGGGCCGTTAACCCCTTCACTGTCTGCAGTACATTGACCGAGTCCGGTGACCGCGGCTCGAAGAACCGGACGTCTCCGTTAACACTGGGGGGGGCGCCAGAGTCAGTACAGGCAACAAGAGTTCAACTGGAACGTCTGCATGAAATGTTACATGAGGAAATAACGGGCATACCTGACACTGATAATATGTCCGTCTGTCTCCTTCTGCAGATGAGCTTTGACCACCCAGGCTCCGTGCTCCCTGTAGGTCATCACGCGGCTACACACACACACACACACACACACACACACACACACACACACACACACACACACACACACACACACACACACACACACACACTTCAACACTGTGTTTCTGCATAGTCAGGAAATAACACCAGGAACAGTAAGGTGTGAGAATCTGCTTTCCTGCATGAAAATAAACCCAACTTTGCACGGTCCAGTTGAATGCCAAACTTCTTCGACTGTCCTTGTGGTAATAGTCCTGATAATAGTGCAACACGCACAAACTAAAGTGGTAGAGTTGTATTTGTTGCTGTGATAAGCAGAAGAGGCAATGATAAAAAAATAAAGGGTCTGGTTCAAATCTTAAAATAATTATTGTAGGAATACTGTTAAAATGTGTTCTAATTACATGTATTTCTTTATTTTAACTTTGGTTCTTCTTTGTGTGTGGGTGACTATGAATTGGTTGGCTCTTCTTAGTTTTTCTGCTGTCACAGACACATTGTTAGTTTTGAATTTGATTTACCGATTCAGCCATATCTGCAAACTCAATATAAAGACTTGAAAGAAAAACGTTTTTAAAAAGTTGAATTTTTGAATAATTGTGTATTATTCTAGAATGTAATTTAAACAGTGTTTGACCCTGTTATGTTAAGCCCTTCCTCTCATGTTCATGTGGATTTGGGATTACATTCTTATGTAAAACAACTAAAGATAATCCAAAACAGCAGTCTAAAGGCCTTTTCCTTCTGCTGGACATCCATTAAGAGTGAAAGCCCACTAGGTGGCACCATGGGATCGTACATGGAGAAAGCAAGAGTCTCCTGCAGGTAACAAATCCTGCAAAATATATTTTTCGAACTCAGCCTTACCTGAATACCCACAATGCACTCTATCACAGTCGGTCAAATACATCCTGCCTACAGCTGGGACAGGAAGTGCATTTGATCTCACTAACATTGAAGGAACACGAACATTCACAACAATTTCCTAATTTTAGATTAAAGTAAGGATTTGTAAACGCCTTCATATATGCAACATTCCATCCTGAATGTTCAAACTTTCCCTGAATGATCCGTCCTCTGGACCGATCAACACAGCTGCTGGAAGATGCAACTTCACGCCTGAGGAGAGGTTACTTAAAGATTGATGGGCCTCTTAATTGTTTAACTGCTTTGTTTTACCCCTACGGGACTGAGATTAAAATAATGTTTAACCACCAGGGGGGATAGGGGGCCACAAGGCTCCATTAAAGAGGGGGCTCGGCCCAAAGGGAGATTTACAGCACACTATATATAATAAGTATGGATTAGAGAAGTGAATAATGTAGGACTGTGTGGGAGTTTATGCCCACAGAAACTGCTGTGTGTGTGTTCTTAAAAGTATTTAAATAATGCAAGGAGATATTAAACTGAATATAACTAAATGATGAGAGCACATTGAGCTCGTATTAAAACAGAAAGAGGGTTTTTAAAATGATTATTTTATAACACTACACTCATTTATGCTTTAAATCTTACAGCTTTTTGTTTTTTAACGTGAATGAAAAACAGAAAGGAACACATTTTTTTAGAAATAAAATGTAAAAAAACCCAAAACAAACATATAGTAATACATAAATAGTTATAAAAAAACAGCCAAAAATGATTATTAAACAAATAAGTTTCAAACTAAATTACTATTCATATGCATATTTATAATAATAATAATAATAATAATAATAATAATGGTTATGATTACAAAATAAATAATAATAACAATAATGGGTTTGATAATAATAATAATAATTTGTCCTCATAATTTCCTTTTAGTACTAGTATTCCACAGTAAATCAGAATGAGAGAGAGTGTTACCAGTCGTTGGGACCCATCCTGCGGTCGAACAGGCGCACCGACCCGTCCCCCAGCCCGGCCACCACTAGGGAGCGCTGCGAGTCGCAGGACAGGCTGGTCACACAGCTGTCCGCCCCTGTGGGGATGTCCTGGTGGATACACAAAAACCCCCATCACATTCAAGATTCAAACGCTTCATTTTCCTATGCATAAAATGTACAGAGTAGTTATGAAAGGTCCCAGACTCCTCCAACATGCAACATAAATAGAAAGGAACAATAAAAAAGGTCCAAGAAGAAGAAGAAAAACAAACAGGAATAAAAGGGCGCAAGAAAATGTTGTTGCTAATATGCATGTACATGCAGACTATATCAATGTAAAAATAAGATACAATTAAATGAAATACTGTACAGTGGAATGAAAAACTGCTTATTCTTATTTAAATATGTGAGCTGTAACAGATGTCTGCCATTAAAGGCTTGACCAGTAGAACAAAGGCAGCGCTGTCAATAATACAAGGCTCGTAAACGCAAACGAACCAAAATCGTTATAAAAAAGTATTCTGTCCACACGCAATAGGCACTAGAAACGTGTCCTTCCACACGAGACCGCTCGACCCGCTGGAGACGCTGTAGTACATATGCCGGGCATGTAGGTGGCGCTGTACGTCCGCCACAAAATACACCAAAAGCAGCGAAGAAAACTTCCGAGCATGGTTTCCATGGTTGCCCTTCTGTTTATTCTCCGCGGTGGATTTAGCAGCAGAGGTGGAGAGAGGCAGGACTCTTTTTCTCCGTCAGCAGCAGCTGATCTCTGATCTCTCTCTCTCCTGTCCGATTAGGCTTCACTAGCGTTTATGTCCATATCGATCAGATCTAGCTAGTTCTAGCTAATGATATGACTGCCTGAGTGTCACCTAAACAATAAGCGACATTTTGACCGGATAATTTTAGATTTCGGCTAACGGAAACTCCGCCGTGCGGGGGGGTCTGCTGGAGGCACCTGCTGGGTGCACTGTCCTGCGAGATACCGGGACGTGGCTCGAAACACTCGGAAAACTGTTGTTGGCGAAACACATCAGAAATGACGCGGGTGACACAGGGGTGAGCAGGAGAGGTGGGGAGAGGCGGGGCTACTGCGTCATCGTTATCAGAAAATGATCGTATAGGGCGTAGAAACAGAGCCGTTTGGCCCCCCAGAGCGTTGCGTCCGCAGATCTACCCACCTTAGGCTTGGGCGGTATGACGGTATACCAGGGTATTTCGGATTCCCGTCGGTATGATTTTCAATACCGTAACGTCACAGACTGTGCGCCAAATCACAGATGCGTTTCATTCTATTACACTGACACGGAGTTTTGACAGGGACGACATTGGTTGTAATACACAGCACGCGCCAGCAGAGGGCAGGGGAGGGCAGTCCGTCTTTCCCGCTCTCAGAGCTCAGCACAGAGCTGAGCTGAGCAAGATGGCGGCAGCATTTGCCGGCCCCGAACTCGGACAACTAGTAGAAAAGAGAAATGCCTCTGCGCCTGTTTGGGACTATTTTGGGTTTACTCGTCGCCAGTGACTTCATCCAGCACAACGAGAGACAGAGGCACTTCTTTGGGAATGTTTAAGACGGGGTGAGTGAGTGTTGACATTTTTTAATCCTATGCAACTGGTTGATGGTTTTGTAGTCGAGGTGGGACGGTTTTAAAAACGAAAGCATTTACGTGCTAAACATTCACGCGAGTAATCCAATGAATCAAATGGAAATAAGGTTTTTAACACATGCACGGAATAATATTGCCAAACTAGTTAGTGAATATAGCAAACTTTATTCAATAAGTCAAGTATTTACTCCCGGAAAATGTTTATGTATGATGATATATTGTTAACTTAGCTCACTATGGAAACAACGTCGAACATCTACAAACGCGTCCTGTATCCGATCTCAAAATGTGCCATTTGCACAATGTGTCATGTATGCAGCCCTTGTTTTGCACTTGCGCGCATGTCGCGGCACTTTGCGAGCGTCTACCGGCTCAGGCTGCACTTTACACCGAACATATAATATACCGTTCGACACATCTATTTGCCGCCGAACGCCACCTCGCTCAAGTCGACCCAAGTCATACCGTCATATACCGGATACCACGGTATGATGTCAGCAAGGTATGACGGTATGAAAAAAATGATACCGCCCATGCCTAATTTA